GACCCGCCCCGGTCACGCCCACCCCGATTCGCCCCGCCCCTGCGTAACTTATGCCCCGCCCCCGGATACGTCCGCTGCGCCTCCGCCGCGTCCTTGGCACAGCCGAGGCCTCGCCCCCTTGACCCGCCCCGAACACGCCCGCCGGCCTCCCCGCCCCTTCATAGACCCTGCCCTGTCCTTCCCCAACACTTTTTTTTTTCCGCCCCGCCCCGACGCAGCCAGGGCTCCGCCCCTGACACTCCCACGCCCCTTCGCCCCTTCTCTGCATCGCCCCGTCCCGCCTCCGAGCCCGCCCATTGCTCCTCCGGCACGCCCCGCTCCAGGCCCCGCCCCCTCCAGACCGCATCGCTTTAGGCGGGAAGATGCTGCCAGCCTCCGACTCCGCTTTTGGGGTTCGGACACGGATCCTTCCCTGCGCCGCCCCTCCAAAGGATGGGCTGGATAGGCTGGATAGGCTCCTCTCTGGCCTCCGCAGTGTCTCTACTGCGCCTTTTAACCCCGCCACCTTCCCCACGTACACAAAGACTTGGGGAAAAAACAGCCCTGGCCGTGGTCCTTGAACGCCACGGAACATGTCACATGTCATTTATGTTGAACATGGACTCCCTAGCGCCTGGGGCAGGGCCGGCCACATCGATAGATGAGTGAATATAAACGTCCTTGACGAAAAGGAAGTGATGATGGTCACACAGCTTGTGAATGTAATGAGCGCTACTCCGTTGTATGCGTAGAAATGGTTAAAATGTTAAACGTTATGTTTTATTTACCTTGCCACATTAAAAATATTTTGAAAATTAGGTTGTATTGCTATGGTATGTGTTGAATGCACACAGGCATGCAGTATTTTTTGTCATATAGAAACAATACATTTGAACACTGTCAATAAAATTTCTGTGTCAAGCCTTGGGAGGTTAGGCTACAATACTTTGTCAGTTGTGTGTGGTATTGCTGTGCACATTGTCAGACGGCCTTGCAATGGTTGCCCACCAATGAGGATGACCAGTTGTCCCAGTGTGCCCAGGATTGAAAGGGTTCTCTGGTTGGAGGATGTTTATTGCTATAATTGGGAGAGTCCCCAGCAAACCAGGAAAATGGTCACCCCATCACCAACCTTCAGCTATTGTCAAAAACTCTGCCCAATTCCCCGAAGAGCTCCCTGCCTTGAAAGACCTGTTTTAAGCTCTGTCTGTCCAGACTTCCAAATCCTATAAATGTCATCCCATTCTTACCCTTCTGAGACTACTAAGCTTTTGTCGAAGTGGTGTTCTCCCTTAGTGTGGTAGATTGAATACATTTAGCCTTTTTTGATTAACAGGTTATTCTGATGATCTCTTGGAGAGATTGCAGTTTTCACATTTTTGTTTTTTGAGACAGTCTTTTACCCAGGCTAGAATGTAATGCTGTGATCATAGTGCTGTGATCACAGCAGTCTGGACTTTCAGGCTCAGGTGATCCTCCTGCCTCAGCCATCCAAGTAACTGGGACTACAGGGACGCACCACCAAGCCCGGCTATTTTTAATTTTTTTGTAGAGATAGGGTCTTGTTATGTTCCCCAGCCTGCTCTTGAACTCCTGGCCTCAGCAATCCTTCTCCCTTATGGCACTGTACCTCCCACAGTGCTGGGACTGGCAGTTGTTTTATGTATACTGTATTGTTGTTTGGTCTATTTTATCTGTGGAAATGACAATTATTTAATGATAGAAGGTACTTATTTTATAATTGCCACAAAACATCCACTGTATCAGTGTCCACTCAAATGCTCCTAATGGTTTTACTGTTAAGAAAAGTATACAGGCCATTGCCTTACTAGACTCTGGTGTGACTATGTGCTCTTTGAGCTATGGCTGTCACCATGTTTTCTGACTCTGACCTGCTCCCCTACATTGGGGAAGTGAATCTCCTTTTTCTCTCTCTCTCCCTCTAATTTACTTTCTAAATAAACTAAGTTTTCTAATCTAAAAAAGAGAGAAAAGTATACAAGGTAAAACTAATATGGGATTCGTGTCGAGTAGCAGAGAAGGCCATGAAAAGGAAGGTGTTGTTTTACTTCAAACTGCAAATGCTTGTGTAATTTGGTGAAAAACTTTTATTTTATATATATAAAATAAATGTAAATATATTATATATATATATATAATTTTTATTTTTATTTTTTTAGTCAGAGTCTCTCTCTGTTGCCCAGGCTGGAGTGCAGGGGCACGCTCATGGCCACTGCAGCCTTGATCTGCTGGACTCAGGCGATCCTTCTGCCTCAACCTTTCAAGTAGCTGGAATTACAGATACGTGCCACCATGCTCAGCTAATTTTTTGCTTTAGATCTCGCTATGTTGCCCAGGCTGGTCTCCAATCCCTGGTTCAGGCAATCCTCTCACCTTCACCTCCCAACGTGGTGGAATGACAGGGATGAGCCACTGTACTTGACCTGGTGATAAGCTTTTAAAAAATGTATTTAGGTTACAAATGAATCTGATTGTTTGAAGTCTGCAGAGTTCATTTTCCTTTCTCTTTGCTTGTTTTTGGTGATTGGGCTACAGCTGAGAGTTACTGTCTGTATATTGTGCTCACATCCTCAGGTTGGCATGGGTGGATGGAGAGAGAGAGAAAAGAGAGAAAGAGAAGTCGTGGGGAACACAGCAGTGTGCAGGGGGAGTCAAGTTACATGTCCTCTGGGGTCTGAAACTCTGGGGTACCGGAAAAGAAAAATGTGGGAGGAAGGGTCAAGATTAAGGCACATGAGATGAATTGAACTAAAGCCGGGGTGAAAGTCTTACTGGTGAAAATTTCTTTTCTGTCTGCAAATAGAAGAACTATTAATCTGTAAGATGTTAAGAATATATCACTAATTGACTGGGCATACTGGCTCACGCCTGTAATCTCAACACTTTGGGAGGCCAAAGCAGGAGGACTGCTTGAGCCTAGAAGTTTGAGACCAGCCTGGGCAACATAGCGAGAATTTGTCTTTACAAAAAAAAAAAGAAAAAAACAACAAAAAAATTAGCCAGGTGTGGTGGTGTGCACCTGTGGTCCCAGTTACTCAGGAGGCTGAGGTGGGAGGATCGCCTGAGCCTCCTAGAGGTGAAGGCTTCTGTGAGCCGTGATCGTGCCACTGCACTTTTAGCCTGGGCAACAGAATGAGACGTAACTCAAAAAAAAAAAAAAAAGAAAGAAAGAAAGAAAAGAAAAAAGAAAATATCACTAATGTCTTAATGCCTTCTGCTAGCTGACTGTGAAATAGTATTAATACATGTTTATTCTTAAAAGTACACAGTACAAGTTTCTTGTGATACCTGGTCAAAACCTCACCTTTATCAAGAGTCCAGTTTGGCTAAGGCTTTGTTTCAAACCCTTTCAAACTCCTAGTAGGGCTTGGCCATTGAGTTACTAACTATAACTATATTAAATTCTTAGGAATCAAGCCCCAAAAGATACATTTTCCTTTTCTATGTAAGTGTGATGCTGACAGAAATAAGCAATAAAACGCAACAGAAATATATTGGTGTTGGGAAATAGTAAGCAAATCATAATGGTTTCTTTTTTTTTTTCCTTTTTCTATTGGAAAGCAGGATTTATTGAGGGGACAGAAAAGCTCCCATAGTAGGAGGGGACCCAAAGAGGTTGCCCATAATGGTTTCTCTAACAAACTAACCAAACCACAAATAAATAGTCAATCATACAAAGCCAGGATATGGATGTGAAAGATGTCACAATCTTGAGGTGAAATTGGCATAGATGAGTTTCTAAAATTGATTCTGGGCAAACATTGCTTTCTCCGTAAATCTCTCTCTCATTCTGCCCACCCCAGCCCCAGCCTCTAAGCCCTATGTGCAATTTCATAATTACTGTAACATTTCATCACCATTTTTTGTTTATGTCTTACATGCGAGATTTACCTAAAAGAATTGTTACCTTTATATTCCTAAGTGGAATAGATGTCTGTGGACCCTGTTCTACAAGCCTTTTGAGTGGACACCATCCTATATGACAGCCCTGGAGAGCGAGTCAAGACAACTGGAACCCATGTGGCTCTGGCTCTAATTACCACGGACTCATCTGCATATGTTAATTTTCTAATGATATTCTCATCAACTTTGGAAGGAACCTGCTGAAGGGCTCACTGGGCTCAGGCGATCCTCTCGTTTCTGCCTCCCAAAGTAAGGGGATTACAGGTGTGAGCCACCACGCCTGGTTTCTAATTCTTTATTTCTGATTAATATTTCTCTATTGGCTTTTGAGATAGATGGAGTGTTTGCATTCCTTCCCAAAATTTATATTTTGAAATCCTAACTGTTAATGCTAGGAGATGGGGCTTTTGGGGAATGATTAGATCATGAGGGTGGAGCCCTCATCAATGGGATTAGAGCCCTTATGAGAATGACCCCAGAGAGCTCTCTCCTCCCTTCCGCCATGTGAGGACACAGTGAGTACCTGGTTATCTGTGAATCGGGAAGTAGGCTCTTGCCTCACCCTGAA